ATAAAATGCAGAAGGTAAGGAGTGTGAGATTTCTGCTTTTTGTTACAACTATAAACTTTGATAACGAAAAATCTGTATCAGTTTATTATAATACTCTAATCTTTTAAAATGTAATGCATACATTTGAATGTTTAATGATTTTTAAAAGATAGAAAGATGATAATAGACAGATAGATAGATAGATAGATAGATAGATAGATAGATAGAATATGATTCAAATGTAAATAGATAGATTGTATATAATTCAAATGTAAAATGCTTAAAATTACAGATTAAAATTACTGTCCAAAATCCATGAAAATCCTGAAATTTGGCAATGATAATTAATATATTACAGGTATTTCTGCTGCAACCCAGAAAGCCTTTGCTAGCCTTGGTCCATTAAAACCACTATTCATCAGCATGCATTGATTAATCCCATGGCATGTAGCAAAAAAAAAAAAAAAAAGGTGCGACCAAATCATATGCTGGTGCGACCAACTGAGAAAGTTGGTAGCACCAGTGCAACCAGTGGAAAAGTTAGTCTGGAGCCCTGCATATTTTGGAGAGAGAATGACAGCGGGAGTCTCTGAGGACACATCTGTGCAACCGTATCAGTTTATACCGGAGTCGGACCCGGAACAAGATGACGGCCCCGAAGAAGTTCGACAATCAAGGCTCGAACAGGACGTTTCTGAATGGTTGGTTAACGTAATGTCACTTTGATCTATTTTTGTATGTACTGGCAGGGTAACGTTAGAGTAACTTAGTGAGATGTACGAACGCTATGTGTTTACTGATGTATATATACTCAGTTTGTAACACAATAACCATAACGCGTTGTTCATTATAAACGTGGATTATATTGAGAACGTCGTACATAGAAAACATGCCGTAATGTACCCTGAGTGTAAACCTTAGACGCATTCATCGTGAAGCGTGAAGCGTGCAGCTAGCGATTTGCAAAGATTAATATAAAGATTAATAAAATGTTACACTCACTTCTTCTGGAGGTGCAGCAGGAACACGAAGAGTTGGTACCGATTCTTTTTTCAGGAGCAGCTTCTTAGCAAAACCAGCTGGGGAGAAAAGATTCGCGAATCGCGCAAACATGAGAGCATTGACGTTGCTCGTGGGGAATATTCCCTTCGAAAACAAAACTCAGCCACTGCGTCTTCAGCGGTTCGGATTTAGGAACATCAAAATGACTGTGTTCGTTATTACACCCAAGAGCAGAACACCACAATCGCTTAGACGCCATTCTGCTCCAGCATATCAACAATGACGGACTATGATGACACTCGCTCAGGGCGGGTCTGTGTTGAAACGCTGCTGTCAATCAACAATCGTGGGAGGGGCGTCCGACCGTGTGACGTCACACGGTCGAAAGGCTCGATTTGAAATGGAAAAACATATAAGGAGATTAAAACAAAACCACTGGATGGATTTTTATCATTATATGATGGCTGTGTACAGGCACTGCCAACACACATTTCAGTACAATCAACTTGTAAAAGTGCATGTACCATTATATGACCTCTTTAAGTGTCTTTAAAGCATTAAAATGTCTTATGATTATTATTGGGTAAGTACTTTGTTAGAGTTTATACTCCCATATGCACCATAGTTTTGTTTTGTTCCTTGTTTTGTTTTTGTCTTGTTTTTATTTTTTTCTGTTGTTTTCTTTTCTTTTGTTTCTTTTGGTTTTGTATTGTTTTTTATTTTTCATTTTGTTTTCTTTTGTTTACTTTGGTTTTGTCTTGTTTTTTGTTGTTATCTTTTTCTTGTCTTTTCTTTTGTTTACTTTTGTTTTTTTGTGTTTTGTTTATTTTATTTACTTTGGTTTTGTCTTGTTTTTTGTTGTTATCTTTTTCATTTCTTCTGTTTACTTTGGTTTTGTTTTGTGTTTTGTCTTTTGTTTACTTTGGTTTTGTCTTGTTTTGTTTGCTTTGGGTTTTGTTATCATTTTGTTATATTATTTTCTTTTGTTTACTTTGTTTTTGTTTTAAATTGTATCCATTTGTTTTCTTATTATTATTATTCCTCCCCAATGGGAGTCAATGTCAGCCCTGTGAACCGTAAGCAGGAAAAGGATGAAAATTGTCACACTTGTAGTGATGGTAATGAATAGTAATCTGAATAGTAATTCGGGGTCTCTAGGACCAACTCTATATCGCCACTACCAGTTCAATAATTCAGTGTTCAAATGGTTTTAACATTTGATCCAGAAAAAGGAAACAAAAAAACATAGATCTGTTACAGTTTTTGACTGTATGGAGTGAGGGAACTTACTGTACCGTTAACCAATCAACTGCTTTTTACTGTTAAAAAAAAAAACGTTTTACAGTGTACAAGCTACAAACTACAAGCTAACAACAAACTCCAATCTACAGTAATATATATAATTCAGATCATTTATTTATTTTTAATACCAGACCAGTATTTATTTGACATGTAATAATAATATTAACAAATATTCCATTCCAAACAATAAATGATAAATAACAGTTTTATATTCACTTTTAGTCATGAACATACATTTACAGTACAGCTAGAAAACACAAAAAAAAAAAAAAAAAAATTCATTAAAAATGAAAATCTAAAATTGTACAGGGACTGAAATGAATTTATTGTGCATGAATCATCTGAATGAACCAATTCACGACTACAGCCTGTAGTTAATAACACTACTAGTTAAATAATATAAAAAAATTAGAACAGGTAGAAATAAAACCCACATTTCTAAACAAGAACCGTTTTTAATTAGTTTAATTAATTACTGTTTGAACATCAGTGTTATATAAAGTGTTATGCTGTTTACACCATCAATATGACCTTATTTTGACTAAATACCTGCCTTAATTGAAACCAGCTGGCTACTTGACTCCTCCGTTTGGCACCTGGACCATAATGCACCTTGTTCCCTCGTCATCCCATCAGTCATCTGGCCTCGCTCCCTCGGGATCCGGCTCTCCTCTGTTTTAAAGAGAGGTTATGGACAGGAGACACGGGGAGAGAGGCTGGAGCTGACAGATGGCCCGTGTCACGGGGACGCTGGGAATATTTACAGAGCTCAGAAATGGATCTTAATGTTCGTCTTTGCTGAGCCATCACTGTGAAGAATGGCCACGTGTTTCCCCTTCACCAACCTTGCATCTTTTCCTTCCGCTCTCACTTTCTCCAGGCAAATCCTCCTCACATTCCCCGTATTCCTTGGCTCTTTTTGAGACGTGTTTACTTGAGCGCTGGCGTTCTGAAGCATCGGTCAGGTGTTAACATATTTAATTAGGGAAAGATTATGCTGAATCATATCTATCGTACAACAGCCACTTGGTTTCATTATAAACAGGACTGAAGATAGATATAATCATAAGATAAAGATGTTTTACTTCTGACTGATCGGTATATAAAGGCAAGGGAAGGGGTTTCTGGCTTTTTGATGCCCTAAAATGGACACCAAAATGTGATGTACTTGTGATGGACCCTAAAGTATAAAGGCAGATATGTATTTTCATGTATAAATACCCATTCATACAGGGAAATATTAAAGATCATATTGTGAAGACAACCTGTTGTTTCCAAAATTAAATCCTTGGCTTTTATATTGTCATTAAGACCAAAGTGAATTAATTTAAAAACTTTATATTAAGTTGACAGTGTATATTTTTTCTAGCACTGATGATGATGATGATATATTAGTATAACGTTTTTTTTTTTAAACTATTAACAGTAGGCTACTATTAAATTTCAATATCTGTAAAATATTTACTTTCTATTAAGCTGACAGTCTATATTTTTCTTCCCACTATTATAATAATTACTCATAACTTATATTTTTACACACACACACACACTTGCATCTTGGCATATTAGCATATCATATTAGCATCTTGGACAAAAAGTTTTGAACTGCGGCTCTTTATCAAACAGTGTCTACTCCTTCTTTTACTCGCGTCTCATTCTCACTGTTTGACTGGTTTGTTGTTTCCTGCGGTTGTGACGATGGACGTTTCGAACACTCAGTTTTCATACACACAGTTTGTCCTCGCTCATCATGAAGGCCACTTCTCTGTTCAGTATTGATTTAGCCTCGTTCAGGACCGCTGAAAACATGGACAAATAAAGATTACAAACTATCCTTTGGACTTTAGTGCACTTCCCTGACACCATAGCAATACAGAGCAACTTGTCAGAGCAACGAAGTGCCACTCGTTTTCATGGATGTAGAAAAGAACAGAAGCTGTTTTTGGAGGGGTGCCAATAGGTTAAAAATGTAACCGTGATTAATCTCATGTTTTTCTGGGTTCAAGAAGTAAAATCAGTTTTAATTTGCCTCTCAGTATTTTTCTTTTAAACTGTGGAGCATTCATTTTGAATGTTTTTAGTTCCTCTTTTAATTTGACTAAATATCATACTGTATTTATTCAACAACAAAATAATGTATGACGTGGCTTGATTTTTCCATCAGGATTTGATTGAATCAATAAAAGTGGAAGCAGCGTCTACAATCAGCAACGAGTCAGATGTGGGAGTTCAAAAGGGATTTGAAGAAGAGATTTTCGCAACAATGCCATAGAAGAACCACTGTATTTCTGAGTGAAACGGCTTCTAGAACAAGAACAGATGTAGGGCGGGGCTTGATTGTGTCTGTGAGGAATTGGTTGGATGGTTGTGGTTTGCTATTGGCTGATCTCATGTGAGTGACAGGTTATAGCCCCGCCCTCGTCCTCAGAGAAGAGAAGAGATGCTGCAAGAGCGGGGGAGAATTATTTTGATGATAAAATTATGAGGCACATGAAGTGTGTGTGTGTGTGTGTGAGAGACATATTTTTATTTTACCAGTCTATTATAATCACACAAATATGGAACTACCTCATAGCTGTACAATTATAAAAGTGTAAAAAAAATCAAACTCCCTTGGAATATTTCAACCAATCAGAATGGCGGATTTTATACTTACACACTTTAATCTCAGTGCTTGTTAACTCTAGTAATTTGCCGTGATCTGTCACTGTCCACAGGTGTCTATAGGGCAGATGTTTGAGATCCAGAAGACGGTCATGGAACCGGAGGAAAAGAAGAGCGATTGATGTGATGTGGGAGTGATGGTTCTCAGACGACAGAACTGATGTCTATTCTTCAAACATCTGCTGGTCATGATGGTGATGATGGTGATGATCTTCATCAGAATGGATCTCACACACACTCTTCCTGTTTACACAGTCATGTCAGATGCCGTGTGCCATGAACACCGTACTGTATATATAAGATGCTGTGGAAATTGTGCATAATGTATTTTTCATGCTTTGTTAGTGTTACGATAAATTCATGTAAGTTACATTTCTTTGAGTGGGTTATCTGGAAAAAAATGACAGTTTTCATTGATCTTTCCACAATGGGTAAAGGTCGAGTGGTTAAAAATAGTAGTTTTCGGTCAGCGATGGCCTAGTAAAACATGGGGACGGTATAAAGATCACATTACTCAATGCCTACGAACAGATTGTGGATAGCAAAAGCAAACAGTTTTGTTAAAACTCGTATGTTCAAAGCCTAAACATGTGGCCCAGTTAGAAGTGCATCATGCAAACAGAGATGTCGAGATCTGAATGAAATTATTCATGCGCATTTACATTTATTCATGAGGCAGATACTGTTGACAGAGGCGCCTTGCATTAATCATTGCAGTGTTAATGAGAATTAAAATAAGACTTTAGTGAATATTTTTAGCAGCTGAAATATTTGCATTCACCTGAGATGTAATGCATTTGCCCAACTCTTGGTAAATATGATACCCTCATTTTCTAAATAGTCATTATGTAATATTTTCTAACAACCAATTCTTACATAATTGCATAAACTTAGCCAGTGTGTTAAGGCAAGTGTCTTGAGAACTAGTGTGACCAACTAGCATTTAAACAAGAGGTAATCAGTCTTAATTTTCTGATTCAAATTGGACCAATTAAACATTTCCCCCCGATTTCGCAGACGAGGCTTTAGATAGTCTCAGACTAAAATGCATGTTTGAGCTGTTTTAACTGAAAGCAACTTACACTGACACATCTTAAAATATGTCACGGCCATTGTCTTGCCTAAAGATGCACATCAGTGATGTTTCTTTCTAAAAACACGTTTATAAAAGATACTTAAATGTCCTAAACGAACTACGGTCTAACCTAAGCCCTGTCTGTGAAACCGGGCCGTCATGTAACTGACTTTAAAAAGTTAGGACCAGTTTTGAAGGAACAAATTAATGACTTTTTTTAAGAATAGTCTAAGCAGTTTATGCAACTATTTGAGCTTTTTATTTACAGAGCAGAAACATCAAGTGTCAATCATCCTTCTATTCTGATCTATTTCACATCCACAATGCTGTGCGTTATCAGGCATCATTTACTGAGTATAATCCTGCTGGTAGATGAAATCTCATGTGCATACATGTCGCCCGTATAGTCAAACAGATGCATAGACCAAACAACCAATGTAAGGAAAAACTGTGGCAAAGCTGGACTTAAGTTACAATGATAGATAGCATATCTCATATGCATAAACATAGACGACTTATTGACTTACTTTACTTTCGACACAGCCAGTCTCTGTCCTCATGCTGAGAGAAGTGTAAACATTCAGTTCTGACGTCTTCAAACTCTCAATGGAGAACATCATTCGATCCAGAATGATTTATACACTTTGTGTTATTAACCCTTTATTCAGGTGTCTTTTAATGTGATTTTGTGTTTGATAAAATGAATACATTTTGACAGTTGAATGTCAACATTAACAATTTAACTTTAAAATCCAATGCAGCGAAAGCATCAATAATTGAATTAAATTTGAGAAGCAAATTTCTGCAGTTGGTTGTCCCAAATGTAACTGATAATATCCCATAATGCATTGCTGTGTGGTTTCCTCTGATTGTCTCTGCATTGGAATAAAAAGAACTTCACTGTGTCAAGCCATGATGGAAACAACATGTTTGACCTTATTAATAAATGACACTGATGATGACTCATTTGTGAAAGAAAACCAACATAGTGCAGGTTGCATTCCATGCATTGTTTGGCATGACAATTACATGCTTGAAAATGTAAACTGTGTCATCATTTACTCATCCGTATGTAATTCCAAACCTATTTGGCTTTCTTTCTTCTGGAACACAGGAGGAGAAGTTGCGGAGAATGTCCAAGTTGCTCTTTTCCATGCAACAGTATCTTACACAGGACATGTCAAGCTTCAAAAAGGCACAATAAAGCAGTCCATATTGGCATTACAGGCCTGGTTTCACAGACAGGGCTTAGATTAAGCCAGGATAAGGCCTTGTGTTTTGGGGGGGAAACATCACTGATGTGCATCTTGAGACAAACAATGGCAGTGCCATATTTTAACATATGTCAGTTTAAGTTGCTTTCAGTTCAAATAGCGCAAATATGCATTTTTGTCTGAGACCATCTTAAGCCTTGTCTGTGAAACGGAGTTAGTCTCCCGGAATCAAACAATAACTTTATGTGAGTGAGAAACAGTCCACAATTTAAGTCATTTTCTCACTAAAAAGATCTGATGTGCAAATTCAAAAAGCCTCACATTTCAGTGTTACCATGTGTTTAAATGCTCAACTCAAAACTTCACTTTTTTAAAAGAGAAAGTCAAAAGGGTTTGGAACAACTAAATGATGACAAAAATGTATTCTATTTTTCTTTATTTTGGCAAACTATTCATTTAAAACATTTTAGGACAATACTTGTATTACTGAACTTAATATTCAGTAATGTCATCAAATTGTTTTCACACTATTGGATGAGATCAAAACTTAACTGAATTGAGCTGGACCAATCAAGATAACCGACCAATCTTGCAACATCAACACTGGTATTGAACTGAACTCGAGCTGAATAACGACGCTCTTCTGCTTAGCTGAATTTAACTCGTTTCATCATTTATGAACTTGTTGAACTGAACAGAATTGAGCTGAATATTGACACTACTGTCTTTTTAGAGTTGCCTTACAGCAGATTTTGAATTGTCTCATATTTGATTGGTGATCATTGATTGTTATTTTCCTGTTTATCACTGTGAAGCTGCTTACAAAAAAAAAAGATTGTAAAAAGCGCTGTTGAAATAAAGGTGACTTGACTTGAAATGTCAGTCCACTCTAAAGTTTAACCTTGAGCGTTGATATCCCCTTGAGAGCACATTCATGTATGTTTTGTAATATCAGTCCTTCGTTTTAGTCAGTTGTGAGGTCAAAATTTGGCGCAGCGTGCCCGTGCGTAAAAGCGCATCACTTCATATCGCGTGGAAAGCTGCGGTCTCAATGGATGACGAGCTGTGGTACTTCAGGGAATAGTTCAGCCCATCGTTGTTGTCCCAGAACTCAGATTTACCATCCCTCATGTACACGGCGAAGTGCACAGAAGCGCTCGGATCTAAGAAAGGAGGCGTGAACATGGTGAAGGAGAAGCGCGCTCCGTGCGTCGTGTCCTCGGTGGGCACGTTGATGGCTTGCGCATCCACGAACGACAGCCAGTCGTTGAAAGTATACCTGACCCCGACTTCTCTCCTTCCCATCGCCCGTATGATCCCACGGACATCAAACTGTGTGACCGTGACGCTTTCCAGCGCGACGCGACAGCGCGTGAGCCGCGTCTCCAAGTCTCCGGACTCCACGGGCATCTTGAACGTCGGGACCAGGTGGTCCAGTGTCAGAGTGGACTTGATGTTCATGCACAAGTCATCCATGAACTCTCGGTCCTTATGAAGGGGGAAACTCTTCAGCCTGTTAAACACCTTGGCCGGAATCTCAGGATCCTCGCTCGTGCTGAAGTGTTTGACGCTCGCCAGATTTAACCCGAGCGCGTCCGCGAACTTCACGCGTTTCCTGCAGCTCTGGGAGATCTGATGGTACAGATTCGCCTGGTCTGGATACGCAGGTAAGGACTTGGCTCTTCTCCTGTCTTTCAGATACGCGGGAATCTCCTCGGGTTGAAGGTCGTCGTCGGAGTCCGTTCCGTTCTCCATCTGCTCCTCATTCATTATGCTCATCATTCCAGGTCTGTAATGTCCAATGACAGAATGTATCATTCCAGGAGAATCCCTTCGGAGGAGCATGTATGTGAAGACAGCTCCACATGTGTATATGCTACGTGCAGTCCTGTAGTAATCAGTTACACACTGGTTACGCCCACACACTGCTGGTTCCAGCTCGCCGTGCTCTATAATCCAGTGTCAAACGGACAGATGTCAACATGCACTTTTACACTCTCTTTACTCTATGAAGTTACTATAAAGAGACTTTTTCTCGAGGTCAGAGGTTAGTTGCAGGGATTTATAATAACTTAAATGAAGAATACTGTTACTGTAATACAACATCATGCAGTTTTTATAAAACTATAATGTGTTATATATAATCTGCCTAATTTTAGTCCATGGCTCCTGCTGAAAATCCTGGCACTGGCACATTAGAGTTATCCTAAACTAGTATATTTTATATTCCTTAAATATGCAAGAAATATAGGCTTACCTTTAATAAATGCCAAAATATATGTAGGGGAATCTCATGGAAACTGTCAAAACCATTTCACCTATGAAAAGAAAATGAAGCCTATTTTTGGAACCATTGGATCATTATGATTGTTTGCATTGAAACATTATTCAAATGATTGAGCTTACCGGTATTCCCACAATATGTTATATATGCATTATTGGTCAAAAGTTTGGAATAATATGTACTATGAATAATATATTGGAATAATGTATATATATTTTTAAAGAAGTCTCTTATACTCACCAAGGCTGCATTTATGTGATCAAAAATACAGTAAAAATAGTGATATTGTGAAATTACTATAATTTAAAAAAGCTGTTTTCTATGTGAATAGTGTAAACTGTAATTTATTCCTGTGATCAAAGCTGAATTTTCAGCATTACATCCGTCTTTATAGTGTCACATGATCCTGTAGAAATCACTCTAATATGCTGATTTATTTATTTACAAACTTTGTATAATACAATTTATTAATGGATTTAAATAGGATAATTTAAAACATTTGAAAATGTTCGACATTACAGTACTTTTGTTTGTCAATCAATCAACCGATAAAAAGTACAAGTTTTTTTTAATGCTTTATAAAACAGTTCTGGTCTTCACATTTGATTGGTTGGTCTGCGTTCCAAGAGTTTTGATGTTCAGTTTAACATCACTGGGTTTTCTAACTTGTGTCATACTGTCTATTTTCACTTGCTGTTCCACACACCTCCTGTTTTGATAAGACACGTTGCTGCCTTAAATTTTTAATCAATTTGGATGTTTATTTTGACGAGTTAAAGCAATGTAAAAAAAAAAAAAAACATGTTGTTATAACCTATTGATCAAAAAAAAATGTACAGTGTGGGTCAACATAGCCTATTATGTTGATCCTGGAACAACATTCCTATCCGAAAATTGAGTCTTAAAGGGGTCATATAATGGTACATGCACTTTTACAAGTTGATTGTACTGAAATGTGTGTTGGCAGTGCCTGTACACAGCCATCATATAATGATAAAAATCCATCCAGTGGTTTTGTTTTAATCTCCTTATATGTTTTCCCCTACCTCAAATCGAGCCGTTCGAGCCTGTGACGTCACACGCTCGGAAGCCCCTCCCACGATTGTTGATTGACAGAAGGGTTTCAACACAGACCCGCCCTCGCTCGTGAGCGAGCGAGCTGTCAATCATAGTCTGCGCGGACCGGCGCGCTCATTGTTGATATGCTGGAGCACTGTCTATGAGCAGAATGGCGTCTAAGCGATTGTGGTGTTCTGTTCTTGGGTGCAATTGTTACAAAGGTAGCGCAAAGGCGCCATCTAGTGGCCATTAGCGGATGCGCTGAAAGTGATTGCGCACGAGAAATGCGCGTGATACAAACAGCTGGATTCTCCACAGCAAGACTGTTCAAGAAGTCGCGGTGCAGTGTTTGTGTTGAACATTAATAACTGTGTACGTCCTTATGAGAAAAGTGAGTTTTATTTATCCTTTACTTGTTTAGGATCGATTATATATGTGAATATCTAGAAATACTCGAGTATTTGGGTCGTAAATCCACTGGAGAGAAATGACGAGTCATGCCGTGTAGTTAGCAAAGAATGAACGTCATTGTAGAATGCTTATGCGTGTTGTTAGTAACTGATTTAAGTGTTGTGTTTGTATTATTCAAATAGATAGGCTATATCATTATACATTTACATTATTTGTTCTGTACAGATTGTGTTAAGGAATGGTGACTCACAAAGTTATTAGTCACCTGGTTAAGCTGGTGTATTGCTCTGATATAATGTTAAGCTGATAGACTTCATCAATAATGTTAGTTTATACAGTATATGTAACATTTATTACTGTTTTGTTTATTTTCAGCTACACACATATATATGAATATAACAGGCCACAAAGAACTGACTTCCTCTTATACAGAAGATACTGCAGCACAGACTACATTTAGACTCGAAAAGGAGTACGATGCAGAGAGTGATGAAACTGCTAGAATGATGTACTCAGCGGGACCAGCATCGGCCAGATCTGGAAGTCGGTATGTAGCAAGAGATGAGTGGGGAGCCTTTTATACTGAATTAGAGGACATTCAAGCTCAGCTTGGCCAAGACACTAAGCTCATACAAAGTTTACGCGATCGAGTGTGCCAGCATGTATTATCTAAATGCCGTGGGACTTTGGAGGAAACCCCAAGTGCAGATACTCACCTATAGAGGGTATGCGCATGACGTCACCGTCGGCCGGAGTGAATGCGGTCACGCCCACAAGTGGCAAAAAGACTGAGCGGCAGCATTTGTTTTCAGCGTGAATGCCGTGAAAATCACACAAAACACATCTAAAACGGGAAAGAGCTTTGCGATTGACTGTACAACTAGATTTGACCAGAAATCTGAGGTACTGTATATTTTTACAGACTGCAAAAAGCTACAGAACAGACGATATTCTGCATAATTGGATGTTTTTAAATAAACACTGACAAAAAACTATACAAGTTTTAGCGCTGGACGATATGATGATATACAGTATAACATTAATGTAAGTGATCACTCGGATTTAGACCTATCTATATTGTATTTATATAAAACGTTTACAGGCAAATTGTCTTCATTTATTTCCCCGGCGTCGAAATCAGGCACATATAAATGTCAGGAAACACGATTCCTGGCTGCATGTCAATATCCATGGATCACTGGATCTTTGATAAGTTGTAAGGAACACTATATCGAGTCCAACTTTTAGTTTAAACTGATAATAGTTTGTTTTACTCGCGTTAACGCAGTTTCCCCTATTAACTCCAGTCACGCAGCAGCTCTTCTGCCACTCAGTCCCGCTGAGGGTGGCGTGTTCCGGCGGGGAAGTGACGTTAATGCATTCCCTCTATTACTGGAAGACGGCCGAGCCTTTTTTCCTGTAACAAGGCAGCCACTTTCACACCCTGCTCACTTATCATCACCAGTTTCCTTCTCTGCATCATCGCCAGTCTCACCACTCCGGTCCCAAGTATCACCGGTGTCCTTGGTTGAGTCCCATTCAGTTACCCGCCTAACACCACAGAGATTTATAACGACAGTAGAAGGTCCTCAGGAGGATGAGTCATGGCCTGAACCACCACCTCCGGTATGTGATGATGTCCCTTACATAGCTAGGAAAGAGCGTGAATTCCCAGTCACTTACGCTACTTCTGTTAGTTATTCAACCCCAGTGAAACTAGCCGCCGCGAGAGCAGTAGCACAGCCCTACTATGGACGGTATGCTCCAGTCAGTGGAAACTCATTCCATAATTATTCATTCAGGCCTGAAAGAGAGGATATCAGGTCAAGCCTCATGCCGCACAATACACAGGGTCAGGGCCGTTCACCGTATCAATCCCTCACCTGCCCCCCAACCCATGCTCCATATTTAACGCCTCATTCTGCACCCTGGCTGGTCGTTCCTTCGCCACCTCAGCAACAATCCGTGTATGTTCCACAATCAATGAAACAGACTGAACCATGGCTTACACACCCAGAAATGCCATACCAGCAGCCACAACCCTCACCTTATGAGATCTTTCCCTCATCGCTTCCAGCACAGGAGAAAGTCTATCTAGGCCCTAAGCCACGAATTCCCATGTTGATTCATCGAGACCCTGCGGAATTCGCCAGGCTGAAGATGTCATTGGAGAACCTACTACCATCAGGTGCTACCGAGCTCTCCAAATACCAAATATTGGTCGACCATCTTAAATTAGAGGAAGCCTCCCTTATCGCTGACTCTTACCTGAACTCTACTACTCCATACTCTGACACAATGACAGCCTTAAATGAGAGGTTTGGTCAGCCGCATCAGTTAGCACTTAAAAGAATAGCACAGGTCATGGATGCTCCTGACATCAAGCGAGGGGATCATGAGGCATTTCAAAGGTTCGCCCTGCAGATCAGAGCACTTGTTGGGATGCTGGAAACCCTTGGCGTAGAGGGAGAAGTGGAATTAAAATGTGGCTCCCACGTCGCCAGACTGCTGGGTAAACTACCTCCAGAGTTGTGTGCAGACTTCCGCAGACACCTATATTATCAGTCTGATTCAGTCTATACACTACCTGAATTCTCTAAGTGGCTCCAGTACGAAGCATGGTGCCCGGGTCATACTGAACCACCCAACAAACGAAATCATGAGAGCCGGGCAAAGCCAGCCCGCTTCACCAGACCAGCCACTATCCTCCATGGTGCCAAAGCTGCCTCACAGATGAAGAGCACAGAACCAGGACCTAAAGCATTCACCTCAGGCAAGAAAAGAGGTAAAGTGCAACCATATTGTCCATATTGTGAAAGCTCTGAACATTTCTTAAGTCAGTGCGCTACTTTCCAGACTTTCACTCCTGAGCAGATCCGTAAGTGGATTATTGAGAACAAGAGGTGCATAAAATGTGGTCGTGCTCATGCTGTTACAGACTGCACTCTCAAGAAACCCTGCAGCATTTGCCAAAACAAACACCTCCAGATACTGCATGGAGTAAATTCTAAGGAAAGTAAAGAAGGCATATGCATGTTGAGCTCTGCAGTTGGCACTGCTTATCTAAATCGACCTACAGACTGCAGCCGGGTATTGCTGAAGGTGGTAAAGGTTCGTCTGCAGTATCGTGAACAAGCTCTGGAGACTTATGCTGTACTCGACGATGGTTCGGAGAGGACCATACTCCTCTGTGAGGCAGCAAATAAGCTTGGCCTGCGTGGAATTCCTGAGGAACTGGCCTTGAGAACAAAAAGGCAAGAAACCCAAGTACTCCAAGGAGCATCTGTCTCTTTTAGTGTTTCCCCTGCCTCGCAGCCTAAACGGAATTACCACATTAGTGGAGCATTCACTGCTCAGAATCTGGGACTGGCTGATCATTCCGACCAACTACCCATCTTACAGAAAAGGTACAAGCACCTCAGAGGTTTGCCACTTGAGTCCTTTGATCAAGTTCACCCTCTTCTTCTCATTGGAGCTGACCAGCCCCATTTGATCACTCCAACCGAACCAGTGCTTTATGGGCCACCAGGAGGACCGGTCGCTATACGGACCAGGTTAGGGTGGACATTACAGGGCCCAGCTAGGGGTCTACCACAGCATCCTAGATCTCAGCACTGTTACCTGACCTCAGTAAACTATGAAACAGCTGAACTTCTGAGAAATGTGGAGAAGTTGTGGCAGGTGGACACGCTACCATTCAAATCAGAGAAACAGGTAACTCGGTCACGAGAGGATCAAGAGGCACTGTCACTTCTGGAAAGTAAGACGATCCGTGTTGAGCATAACAAGGTTCAGCACTATGTGACCCCTCTGCTACGGAAGATGAATACTTTCTCTTTCCATGCAACCAAAGATGCTGTCATGCCAAGCCTCCGAGGTACAGAGAAGCGACTTGCTAAAGATGAGGACAAAGCCTCAGCATACATCACAGAAATGAGCAAGCTTGAACTGGCAGGCTCAGTAAGTAAACTGACTGAGGAAGAGGCTGCACGAAGTGAGGAATCATGGTTCATTCCTCATCATCTGGTACAACATAATGGGAAGAATCGTCTAGTATTCAATTGTTCTTACCAATTCCAGGGTTGCAACCTCAACGAATCTCTCCTTCCTGGGCCTACCCTTGGCTCATCACTCCTGGGGGTCTTGCTTCGCTTTCGGGAGCATGCCGTCGCAATAAGCGGGGACATAAAGGCAATGTTTCACCATGTCTGCCTTCTGCCTGAGGACAAGCCCCTTCTTCGGTTTGTGTGGCGAAATCTCTGCCGTGATGTGCCTCCTGTGGTCTATGAGTGGCAGGTTCTGCCGTTTGGTACCACATGTTCTCCTTGTTGTGCCACATTTGCCCTCCAAAAACACGTGCACGACCACAGCACCGAGGGAGAAGATGTCAGGAATTCAGTAGACAGGTGTTTCTATGTAGACAACTGTTTACAGTCTATCATCAAAAGCTGATGCCAAAGATTTACTTGATAAATTACGTGTCCTGTTGGCATCAGGGGGCTTCGAGATCCGCCAGTGGGCCAGCAACGCCCCTGACATCCTTAGCCATCTTCCTCAAGAAGCTCGCTCAGATAACGCTGAATTGGGGCTCACCCAAAATTCTTCTGATGTTCAAGAGTCTACCTTAGGTCTAAGATGGCATTGCCCTACAGATACCATCGGTTATAAACATCGACTGGACGATTACGGCTCAACCACAATGCGCACTGTGTACCGTACATTGGCCAGACAGTATGACCCGTTGGGGCTAATATTATCATATACAACTCGGGCTAAGGTGATTGTACAGCGACTCTGGGATAAACAACGAGAATGGGATGACCCATTACTACCTGAGGAGCTGCTCCAAGCCTGGAATACATGGGTAGCAGAACTGCCTGAATTATCTCGCATCACCTTACCTCGCTGCTATGTTCCAACAACTATGGATCAGCCAGACGTGATACGAGATGTCCATGTGTTCTGTGATGCATCTGAGAGAGCATATGGATCACTGGCCTACCTACGCTCAGAAGATGCTGAAGGTGGTGTTCACTTGGCATTCCTGCTGGCCAGATCTCGAGTTGCGCCAAAAAGACAACAATCCATGCCAAGACTGGAGCTTTGTGCAGCGGTCACTGGAGCCCAACTTGCAAAGTTGATAATCAGTGAGCTCACCTTACCAATCAGAAATACCATCTTGTGGTCTGACTCGACTGCTGTGCTGACATGGCTCCAGTCAAACTCGTGTCGATTCAAGGTCTTTGTGGGAACCAGGGTTGCTGACATCCAAGAGCTCACAGATCAGCGGTCATGGAGGTACATGAGATCAACACTTAACCCGGCAGATGATCTGACCAGGGGTAAATCATTTTTTGGAACTAGCACAACCAAATAGGTGGTGTCAAGGTCCATCTTTTCTTTTACGACTACCTGATGAGTGGCCAGAAGCTCCAGCAGGGTCCGGTGAAGAAGATCCTACCGAGCTACGACGTTCCTTGTTCTGCCATTACATCTCAAGTTCTGATAGGTCTGTCCCTAATTCCAGCAGATATGCTACTTGGAGTGAACTGGTGGAGGCCACAGCAAGCACCCTTCAGCCTGAGGAAGCAGGGCAAGCTACTCCATCTAGTGCAGGAACTTATCAGCAGGCAGTCTCCCTCCTCCTTAAACAGTCCCATCTGGAAAGTTTCCTAGAGGAATATATTCTCAAAGCCAATAAACCAGTTCCTTCCAGTAGCCGCCTTCTTGTTCTGGCTCCTGAGTTTGATGCAACAAATGAGGTCATTCGAGTTGGTGGACGCCTCCGAAGAGCAGAGGATTTGGATCCCAACTTCAAACAACCTATTGTGCTGGATCCAAGCCACTGCATCACCAAACTGTTAATCCAGGATTTTGACCAGAGATTATGCCATCCTGGACCAGAGCGAGTCTTCGCTGAACTCCGACGTTCGTACTGGATATTGAGAGGGCGTGAGGCTGTTCGGAAGCATCAATATGTTTGTCTGGAGTGTCAGAAGTTGAGATCCGAACCTGTTCCACCGAAGATGGCTGACTTGCCTCCTGCTCGACTTCGTTTGTTCAAGCCAGCGTTCTATTCCACTGGGATGGACTGCTTTGGGCCATTCCATGTGAAGATTGGCAGGCGTACAGAAAAGAGATGGGGTATCATATTCAAATGTCTTACCACTCGAGCAGTGCATCTTGATGTACTTACCTCTATTGACACAGATGCCTTCCTGATGGCAGTACGGAGGTTCACCGCACGTCGTGGTACCCCTGCTGAACTTCACTCCGATCAGGGGACAAATTTCAGAGGGGGAGAGAGAGAGTTGAGAGAGGCTTTCGCTGCCATGAGTACTAACCTGCAAGGGTTGCTAGCGAAACATCAAATCAACTTCCATTTTAATCCTCCAGCAGCTCCACACTTTGGAGGAGTGTGGGAGCGAGAGATTCGCTCTGTACAAGCAGCACTTAGCACCACAATTGGAGCACAAAGCGTTCCTGAGGAAGTACTCAGAACAGTTTTAATTGAAGTGGAGGCTATTTTGAATTCCAAACCATTGGGGTATGTGTCAGCTAACATCGCAGATGTTGACCCAATAACACCAAATCATCTTTTGATGGGGCGGCCCAGTAGTTCATTGCCGCAAGTTGTCTACCAAGATTCTGAATCTTGTCGTAGACGATGGAGACAAAGTCAGATACTGGTGGATCATTTCTGGGCCAAGTTCATAAGCTACTACTTACCAGGTCTTCAGTTGAGGCAAAAATGGCAAAGGACTACTGAGGACCTTACTGAGGGGTCTGTTGTAATGATGGTTGACTCCCAATTACCAAGGGCTCTATGGTTAGTAGGCAAAGTGGTAAAGGTGTTTCCAGGCGCTGATGGACATGTGAGAGCAGCTGAGGTAAAAGTCAATGACAAGAGCTTCACCAGACCTGTGGTAAAGCTAATTCAGCTGCCTGAATTACCTACGGAGGATTAACATTCAATTGGAGCACATTTACATAGCAAATGTG